TAAAACAAAGATATTTCGTCATTGTATTGTAAAGATTGAAACACTTTAATTATATTCAATTATGACATGACTAGTCATCCAGTCCAGGAGCTATAGTTTACGCGTACAGCCTTACAGAAGAAGATACAAGTTTTCGTAATCTTAATTGTAGCATTTACGTGTCATGTTATATATACTAAACTAAATACGTGGTCACCGGAAGTAGGTATGATCATAAAATTTATGCTACACATTCTTTAACAGCACGTACTTTATATTTTTGTCTACTTTCACTGCATTACAGAACAACGGAACAGCACTTAGTAGTCAAAACGAACACACGATATAATCACTAGTTAAAACTTCCAATTCATTGAACAAATTTCATTCAATGACAAGCTGTTTATTTAAAACTATAAATAGAATGTTTACTTGTTAGTTGTTATTGAGAATTTATTTTGTATGATTAATGAAACAACCAGTTTTAAAAATACTTTTTAAACAGAGGACTTTCAAATTACTACATGCGTATAAAGTTTATGCCACTAAATGGATGGGTTATATTTATCAGACGTAAATAAAGCCTAGAAATGTATAAATGTATCGTACATAAACAATATTTCAAAATATATTCAGTCTGATAACATTAACCTTCAGTAACATTTTCGTTAGTCTGCGCAATAGCTGACTTTTTTCTCAATTAGAGTTATGGAGATCGGTGTTTTTACGCACGGAAATCAGCAATCCTTGTTAAACCACTGTTAGAAACCAGTAAGCACTGAACAACCATCTCGTAATGTTATGGGACTCATAGGCAACCCACATCAACGACTCCCGCTTCTCGCGGAATCGGAACCAAGGACCTTTGGTCATGCACACGAAAACCTAACCTCTGGACCACCCACTCGATAACCAACCGTGTTATTGTCTAACTCTGACGTGACCAGTGGAGTTAAACCCTGTCAGGTGTAGGCAAAAACTATTAAAGACAAATGAGTGAGGTCGCGCAAAATTCCTAGATTGATTAGAGTTAAAAATTAACACCACTGGATGCCGAAACAATGGTCCAGAATTTAAGCTTTCGCCCACAAGACCGAAGGTCTTGGGTTCCAATCCTGAGAGTCGTGGGAGTCGTGGATGAACATTGCTAATGAGTGCCACACCAAGGCGAAACGCTTGTCCAATGCTTCCAGGTCTATTATAATGGTCATCCAACAATGATTGATTGATGATTTCAATATTTACTGATTGTAGAAATCATGGTTTATCAAAATCAGTGCATATCATTTGAAATCTTACAAGCAGTATTAACCAGGATCGGGAGTGGAATTTGTTGGTGAGACCAAACTAATGCAAATACTTTGAAGTTATAACAATGAATGGAGATCAATATCGATTATTTTATGAATAGACATCATTTGGAAAATTTCATTTACAAATTACAGACTAATTAGCAATCCCTTTTTAAGAGTTTGCTAAGATCAGGTATTGTAGACAGACAAGATGTTATATATTTTATCCGGTACTAACATCGAGGTTGCATTCTCCAGAACCTACCAGAAACCTGATACATTCTTCTAGTATTCATAATTTACTGCATTATGATTGGTTTGTCAAAATCATTTGTGGATTAATTGATAACCACAGGATTTGTAGATTTCAGAGTACATAAATGATAGTTTTTCTGATGATTTCACCACTTGCATACTTAAAAATGAAACCGCATTCTAATTAGATTTTATTGCCCTACTTGTTTTGTCAAAAAGCATTTGCTAAATCTAACCATACTTATGCAGTCCTACCTTAATGGTATTAACTACTCGTTAATATTTCATGAATTTTCTTATGTGGCTGAATTCCTGCTCGCTACAAACCTATGACTGAATGATATATAAGATTAGTCAAACTATATTTGCAGTAAGCCAACTTTAATTTTCGTAAGGATTGTTATTGTAGTATGGCATATAAAATTTCTAATTCTAGTTGGAATTATAGACTAATCTTAGTTTTATTGCATATAACTAACAAGCACTTGATATCTGTTACATTCAAATGCTTACCTTCAAGAGTTAGTCTCAAATTTTAATGAAATACCATGATTAGAGGCATTCAGTCGTATCAGGAATTGGGACAAATATTATCAGATACAGTGGGGCAATAATGCGAATCGCCCGAAGTTTGAGATATAAACCAATAGAAGTTGCGTACCTACTATGAATGTTTGGAGCTCGTAGAGATTCCTCAGTGTCGTGGGTTCAGTTACCGGTCAGACTATAGATGCACACATCTTTTCAATTCCTCATGAGTCTCAAAAGTTTTTAAAAATATTTACCTTCCTTTTAATGATTATTTTTATTAATGTGCGCCCTTTTGAATAGATACACCATTGATTTTTATATCAAAAAATGCTTAAGATGAACTGTAATTTAAGCTTATTCGACATGAAAATCAATACTTTCTAATATGTAATTGTTTTACAAAACACTTCAATTTGTAGTTTATAAAATATAACACGTAATTTTCACACATCAGTTAATTGTCTCGTTCAATAAGGTTGACTGAATAAAACCTAGGCGATCATATGATGTATGTATATACATATATATGGATTCATTCTTATCTTTTTGATAACTTAAGTTAAAACCTTACAAATTATAATTGTTTCATCACATAATCCAAGTGAAGAAGACATGTTCACTGAGTTGTAAAATAATAATTACATAACTTTAAATAATTTATATAAATGAATAAATATACTTTTCATTGAAAACGAATCGAATACGTTGTAATTGAAATATCAGTATTTTTGTAAAAAATGTTTTGTTTAAGATAATGATCAATGAGTTTTTTAAGTTAGAAAGAATAATTTGTAAAAGACACGCATTTTCTCAAATAAAAAGTGGTAAACTGAAAAATCACTTACAGCCTACTCTTGTTGACATTGTTCGTGTTAAGAGTGTTGAAATAATGGATATGTGAATTGGATTTAAAAGCTAGCTATTAACTCAACAAGCTCTAAAGATTTCTAGTGATAAATTGTTTTATTAAATGAAAATGAAGAAAATCAGATGAATATAACTAGTTTTAAAATATCTCAAGGTCAATGAAGGTTTGATTTTACAGAGAAGGAGGAATTTTTGTAGAAAAAATAGTTAACTACTTTAGCTCAAAACGTTTGTGAACTGCCATCATATATACATACTTTTGATGAGTGTTCTTGAGTCATTTTGGTCAATACTACCATTATTAGTCAAAAACAGTGTATGAATATACACTGAGGAGATAAGTTTTGCAAAGTGGCTAAGACTTACAAGCTTAAAAGTGTTCACAGAAGTCTGTTTTTTAAGTGAACTCATCTATGCAGTAGTTAATATACAAGTTATTCTAATTATTTAAACTAAGAGCCTGTGGAGATTTCACTTTTATGAAGAAAACACGACTCGGTAAACAGTTACATTCATTATTGTAACCAATTGTATCAGTGAACATTTTACCGAACATTTGTTTATTTGTACTCTTGTAACGCACTCACTACCTTACGGTCGCCATCTTGCTTTTGCTGTTCTATACCTTCGGCCAATTCTGTGGCACGTTTCGGCATTCTTGCGATACTTTGAAATCGTTAGCAAATACACTTATTTCATCTTGTGAATCCTGTCTTCTCTATTCTAATACGAGATTAGGGATAACACTTAGGATCCGAACTTAACGAGTTGATAGATGTGTTCATACTCGTTCAACTTGAACATCTACAAGCCAATAAAGATGATTAAACATTGCTCTGACCACTGATTTAAAAATTGGCAACTGCAGTAACCTAATACCAAATATCAAACGTTTTCATTATAATTTCAGTTATCATCTTAATGATTTATTCAGTATAACTTATTACTTTACTAAAGTAATTGTACTTTCTTTAGTTAGATGATTGTTTTTGAAGCATATCCTCTGTATTATTTTTTTATCGGAAGCAACATACTGCAACAAAGTTGGGCGTCATAAACTGTTGTTAGGATATTCATCCAATATCCTAGGATAATTGTTTTTAAGTCTGATTATATTGGTCGATTCCTACTGGTCAATATTATGGTCGTCCTAGCTATCAATGTCACGTATATCAATGTTATTTCCCATTGGTCGTCCTGACTACCGATGTCACTTCAAATGTTGTTTCCTATTCGGCCTAACTGTATAAATACGCATTATCTGTAATGTTTTATGTCCCGGACCCGGACCCTTATTCCGGGATCCTTGCCTTCTTCTGGACTCGGACATCGTACTTTCTGGATGCTTGTAGAAAACATATTCTACTTCATATCACGTCTTCTTCTTTTACTTAATGGAGGCTTGGGACAATTGGATTAGAGTGGCCTGTCGTCTCGCCGGATCATTGATCCTCGCTCTCTTTTTCCGACTAAGATAAACTCATTATAGCTCAAGTATATCAAATGACATGTTTACGTGCATACGTAGCAACTTTCTTTACAAACGTCGTCTACTTAAGCTAGGTAGAACAAGTTTACTACATAAAATAATTTTTTCATTACCATTTTCATTCAATAGTACTGTTTTTTTAATTATATAATGTCATTTTAAACAACTCCTTTTAAACATAGATAATTTCTAATGCATCCTAAAACAACAAAAAATTCTTCGAGAATTAATTGCGCCTAAACGAATTTACTGTTCTAATACGCTGTCATCTGAATCAAACCTAAGTGCAAACAAACAAACTCATATATCAAATGAATAACCAGGTTTATGGCGTTCAATAAACTCGAAATTAGTTGAGTGTCAACTAATTACTGGACACTGAACAGTTTAATCATTTACTCGATATAATGAAGAATGTTTACTGTAAAAAGCTGAATTATTCTGAAATAAATGCATTTTATTTCATAAAAATACCTCATAGAAGACATAAATTAAATAGACGAATATTTTTTAACAGGAGAATAAGGATAAATTCTTCACGAAAATCTGTTAGGACAGGAAGTACATTATCAGTAGTGTTCCATCCATTAAATGCTCAATTTCTAAAAAGGAAATGAAAGAAAAAATGTTATAGAATACAAATAGGGTTCATTATTAAAAGCAAACCAAATGAAATCAGATCATATTGAATAATCATTGTGTGATAAACGTTAATCACAAGGTGGCAGATACGTACAGCATGCAGTGAAGCATCGATCAGAAGTTACTACCAGGGAGAAGAGTGTTCGGCGATCGAAATAAATAATGTGATTAGAGGGAAGACAGTCCATTTCCCGCTTGTGCTGGAAACGGATATCTGAATATTATGTGTAAGTATTGTCATGCTCGTCACTTGATATGCTTGAAACTATTACGAGTTCACCATAGTCGATAAACAAGAACGAGACAATGACCCAGTGACGCTGTAGGCTACTCTAATCCGTTGCCCCAACTAACTGAAGAAAAAGTCTTCATATGACGTAGAAATTTTATTCTACAAGCACCCAGAAAATATAATATAATGTCAAGCACACAAATCGCGTTCATTTAAACATCATAGAAACGTCCTCGAGCGAGACACAAAAATAGCGTACTAAAATAACACATCAATCAATAACAGCCAAGAAGTTTCCTGGTGGTTAAGGTAATCTCAAGGTCAACTGATCAGCACATGAATAAAATCCACATTAAGACATTTATCAAGTGAGTTCTAGGGATCTAACGTCCCCGACACGCAGTTTGTAAAAAAAACTAGGCTTACCCCAAATATAAATAGGTCTCGACTTCGTCGTAAAATAAAACTGAATAGTATAAGAAGTAGTATTTGTTTTATCTAGTTTTGATTTATCGATTAGTTCAAACGCGTTTACTTAGAGGCAAACGATGCTGATCAATTTGTTATTTCAATGAAACTCAACAATTTTCACTACTCTCTAATGCCAGTAATAGTTTGTTCGAAGTGTCAGTCAGTCAGTCAGATGCAACGTAGAACTTCGTACGTAAGTACATCAGTTCATGTCACCATACCACATCAGCACAGAGATATAATTTTCAATTCAAATCCAATAGTAGGAGAGATAGTCAAGGTATTAGAAGTAATCCGAGAGGTTAGGATTAGAAGATAATAAAAAATATGATTCAGTGAGAAAAGTTTAGAAAGTCAAAACTAGAGGTATTGAACAATCCAGAAGATTAGGATTTGAGAGAACATAAAGAAAAAATGTCCCGTCGCCATTGCAAACGGTTTTGAGCCATGTAATTCAGGGTCTCTAACCATCGATTATTATCATCTCGCGGACCCCAATTAGGTAGTCGACAACAACCGACATGACTCAGTCCACTTATCAATGACTTCATGGATTTCTGCCATATTTTGGTTTGGCCCCACCTAACTTTCTTCCAACCTATTCCTACACTACAAAACATAGCTCGTCGAGGCAGTCGGTGGTTAGGCCTACGCAACACATGTCACAACCATCTCAACTGATGAAGTTCCATTACTTCATCTATTGATCTGCCATTCTTACCTAGTAGCCGTTTCCTAATAACAGCATTCCTCACTCGATTGTCCCAGGATATACGAGCAATGCTTCGAAGACACCTATGATCGAAAACCAATAACCGACGAGTATCTTCTACTCTCACTGGCCATGTTTCACAGCGATAAAGTAAGACGGAGCGAACTACTGCGCAGTACACTCGTCCTTTAGTTAGCAAACGGATATCTCGCCTACGCCTGCGTCACTTATGGCGTAGGCGATATATCCGTTTTAGAAGTGTATACATTCAATTATGATTACTGAAAAAATCATTGTCAGAATATCCTGTTGATGAGTTCTTTTCATTAAAAAATGTAGGGTTTGTTGTCAAGTTGTTGATATTGATTCTGAAAAGCAATTAATTCTAACTATTTATTAGCATAGTTTGATTTCCGGTAATTATAACACTCCATTGTTTATTTGTGGCTAATGCTAAACAGATCTTCTTTACATGCAAATATTCTAGATGAATAACTCCAATAGGTTGGAATCATTAATTTTAGGTTTTAGGCTAGTTTCTAATCATTAACAAGATGTACCCACCTTTAATTTGAATGAAGTTGATGCCTTCCGGAAGATATAAAACTAGTACATTTATTTTAATAACTAACCTCTTTCAAATTGATCATGAAACTCGTTTTACTTTGCATTATCACTTTCTAAAAAATGAATATGCATCGATTCGGACCATGTTTATTCATACACTTCATGTCCCGGTTCCTCTTATTATGATTATGATTTTGGTTAGGTTTAATACATTTCTTAGCTATTACATTATCTGCTTATTTAGTTATGCCTGAAAACCCAAAATGGTACATAGACCGCCGACCAGTGTTCTCCGACTAACTGTATCCTGGGCTTCCCTTTCCGATTATGTCCAATGTTTGTTCATTATTCTCATGTTTTGGCGTAATATGTTCCTTGGCCTTCATCTTTAACTTTTGCCTTGAGGGTTCCAAGTGAGGGCTTATCGTGCGAGGCATTTGGATGTTTTCCTCAATGTGCGGCCCATCCATTTCCGCTGCTCCTTCCCGATTTCATCCTCCACTGGAATCTGGTTTATTCTTTCCCATAGTAGATTGTTGCTGATAGTGTCTGGCCAACGAATCTGAAGTATTTTGCGAAGAAATCTGTTCATAAATACTTGTATCTTGTGGATGATGGCTTTGGTAGTTCTCCAAGTTTCCACCACATATAGTCAAATTGTCTTGACATTTGTATTGAAAATTCTGATTTCGGTGTTTGTTGATCGTCGTTGGTTTAAGTTCCAGATGTTGTTCAATTGTAAAAATGAAGCCCTCGCTTTGCCGATCCTGAATTCGAATCTGCGTCGGATCAACTTTGATTGTCAAAAATGCTGCCCAGATATGTAAAAGTTTTAAATTCCTCCAAGGCATCTCCATGAACAGTGATCTGGTTGGTGCATGTAGTGTTGTATCGGAGAATTTCGCTCTTACCTTGATGTACGTTGAGACCTGTTGCCGCTCGGGTTGCTGCTACGCTGGTGGTATTCTCTTGCGCTTGTTGTTGCGTGTGGGATAGAAGAGCCAGATTTTCCGCGAAGTCCAGATCGTCCAGCTTGGTCTTGGGACCGGCAGTAGCCCCGAAAAGGGCTGCACACGGTGTTATTAGTTAAATTATTAAATGTCATTTTAGGTTATATATTCAACTGATAAGAAACCCCCTGAAATCGAATTCTGCAAAGCCTGTTGTTCTCGCTCTGTTTATAATTCAAAATTATTTTTAAACGAAACAAAACCGTTTTGTGTCTGTTTCTCAAACTACAAATTATTTTTTCTCTAAAGAACACAACACTTAATGAATTAACATACTAACAATTCGAATTTTAATGTCTGTTTTTTATTCAAACTACTTTCCACTAATAAAATTAAGTCAACGAAGCTAATAAACATACGTGTCTGATCTATGAAACTACATTGTATAAGAACATTTCATAATGTTCATTTGTTAGCAGTTGAATTATTCATCAATTGATAAGTCAATGAAGGAAATTTTTCATGTGAAATGGAATATCTAAAAAATAATTGCATTTTTCCTAGTCACAACATAATTCTTTTTCCCTAAATTATCTTGAAAACGTTGTCATCATCATCATACAAAACTAGACAACCTAACTTAATAACAATCGTAAAGAAAAACCATTTTATCGAATTATAGTAAAGCTAAATTGTGAATGATGCTTAACTCGAGATAGTGGAGAAAATTTATAGCTCAGGTGGATGATTGTGTTGGTGTTTGGTTCTCTCAGCTGTATATTGTTTTAGTTGTGAAGCTTTCATTGTTCTTCTACTGAACAACATCATTATCAGCGCAAACTTCAGATAGAAGAAGTGAAGCATTCGAATTTCTCCGCGTTTTTTGATCAAAAATGGGGATACAATCAAAACAAAGGTGCAAACAAACAACGACAGGTTTAAGGTCAACAGCAACCAATCAAGATCGAGGTGAGCAAAACAAACTACAAGTCAAACGTTGAGAAATTCGAATACTTTATTTGAAGTTTGTGCTGATGATGATGTTGTTCAGTAGAAGAACAATGAAAGCTTCACAACCAAAACAACATCCAGCTGAGAGAAAACTAAACACCACCACTATGCGTAACTTACTTGTTTGATCACATCAATTACTTCTTGTACCATTTTGTCCACATTATCATTAACAATCACAGCATCGAATTTACCTTCAGATATACCTACCAGTAATCAATTTAAACAAAACAAGGAATATTGAAAATGAAATTATTTTTGCTTATTAATGATAAAAAAAGAAATAATACCAAATACTCGGGTAATAAAATTAAAATTTTTACGACCGGGAATGAGAATTTTTGTTCATCTGATCATAATTTTCAGTTAAGAACTCATTAACATAATACTGTATGGTTGAACTGATAAATAGACAGTTAGTTCATCACACACAGAATGTACGGATGTGTATGCTGAGCATTTTATTGTTTGTTTTTTTTTCTTAAAAAAAATCAATATCTGAAGGGCATAAACATAAGAAATCACTTGAAAAAGGGAACAATGATTTCAAACAAACGAAACAAGGTTTGTTATTTTTTAAATGATTGAAATGATTTATTTTTATTTATGATATATTAGTTATCGCATATATAATCACTTCAATCCTAGAGATTTTGATCAAATAAGACTATGGCATTGGCTATGGAGTGTTGGGTTTTTGGTTGACTAGTTCATCAAATCTGTCTATAAATGCTACCTTGTAAAACACCAATAGAGTTTGATAATTTCGAATAGATAAGTAGTGTGTGTATGTGTGTGTGTGTGTGAAATACACAAGGTAAAAAGATTTTTTTAATACTATTCACTTTTACCAAATAAAAATTCCCTGCAATGTTGACTGAATACTGTCATTTTCATATTTGCATTACGGGGTTATGAAGATTGTTAAGTTACACATTTTTGAAACTATGAATCGATCAATGTTAGACCACCATTAGAAACCTGGAAGCTCTGGACGGCCGTTTCGTCTTAGTATGGTACTCCTCAGCAGTGCGTATCCACGACTCCTGCACCCTGCATGATTCGAACCGAGGACCTTCGGTATTGTGCGCGAACGCCCCAACCATCGGACCACTGAGCCGGTATCTAACGGTGTTAATGTCTAACTTGATCAATTCACGGAGTTGCGCAACCTCATATACAGTCTTCGGTAGTTACTGTCTACACCCGAACAGGTTGAACTTCACTAGTCACGTTTTACCACTAAAACTCGGAGAAGATTCCTCACGAAGCTAGTCACTAGTGAGCACAGGTAATTTGCATTACGGGGTTGTGAAGATTGTTAAGTTACACATTGTTTTGAAACCATAAATCGATCTATCTTACAGCACCATTATTTTAAACGAGATAGTATAAGCTTTCGTTTTTCAACCATTTTCCGTAGTTATAGCCACTGTCCTTCAGTGTTTACGTTGTTCGTTTAAGTGAGATTTCACAAAAAATTATACACGCTAGAACTCATGCTAATTTTGCAAACGTTCTGACTAACATAAATAGAAGTTGATTTTAAATCATTGAACATTGAATAGAATAATAAATATCATTTTAGTAACAATCATAAACGTTGTTCGTCTACATTATATAACTTATAGTATTCTGATTATTTATTCATCTATAAGTCTGTCAATATCATTTTATTTTTAGTGCGTAGGGTAATAATACTTAAAAATACTACTTGTTAGTTGCAATGTCATCATAAATTCTCTGTTGATATTTGATTCCACTGAAGGTTTATGCTAAAATAGATCAAATGTGAAACACTATCACATAGTATTATTATTATTATTTGTATGATTTATGAACTTTTATTGTGTTTTGACAAATGATTATTTTTGCATACAAGATAATTTAATATTCAGGTTATTTAAAAAACTGTAAATAACAATTGTGAAATGAATCATTTTACAACGATGCTGTTTGTTAAGTAAATATGAGCTTTGAATGGCGAAAATAATGTTTGTGGGAAAAGTCAACAGAGGATTAGAATTTATTTGCATCAAAACAATTTGGGAAATTTGATCCAAAAACCTCTGGAAAATTTTTTTCTTATCTTATGCTCAGAAAAAACAATACTTGAACCGTATGAAAGCAATTTTATAAATGTTAACGAATACTAACATTTGTATGCGTATTAACCAGTGATCAACTAATTGGTGCACACTAAGCCTCTTAACAGATTCAATGGTTTCACTGTCTAGCGAACATTAGATTATTGATGTGATCATTCTTCTCACTCATGCCCTTTACTGCATATTCGTCCTGTTAACACATTAGAATCGGAGTAAATAACATTTTTGAGTGTGGGTAAACTGTACATCGTTACATCATCTAAGGGTTTCATATTCAGTAATCACTTTCGTGTTTTCATTCATTTACTAACTAAATTACACATACTTTGGAATAACTTTTATTAGATAGTGGATTAGCGGTGTGACTAATTTTTTCTGTCATTATATCTGGCTGCATTACTCTTGATATACATCCGGAGCAGGATGCAGTTATTTCTGTTATGCTTGTCTCTAGATATGCTTACAACTATTACGGGTTTACCTTAGTCGAATAACGAGAACAAACAATAAAAAGGCGTCCAGGTAGGCTACTATGATCCCTTGACCCAATGGTACCAGCAGAAAGTCTTGATATAGCGTAGAAAGTGTATTCTACATACACCCAGCGAGCACACAATGAATCCAGGCACTCAAATTGCGTTTATTTGTACATTATAGAGGGTCACAAAAATAGCACACTAAAATAATACAGTAACCAATCACAGACAAGCATTTTCCTGGTGGAAAACGGGATCTCATGGTCAACTGATCGGCCAATGAAATAAATCCAAAATAAAGATATTTATCAAGTGAGTTCTGGGGATCTAACAGCCCTAACAATTTCTGTCACAAAAAAACTTACCACTGTTCATATCCTTCTGTAAATAAACCTCTAGTGATAGTTATGATTAGTAGAAGCTTTAAGGCAAAATAATACTTTTGACTTCATTTTGATTGACTCCTGGGTATACTACCTAATTCTATTCTGTTAGTTAAATTATTAAAGATTCCCATTGTGAAAATTAGAACAACACATATAAGCGAACAATATTGTTTGTGATTAGATCGTCATCAGGCTTTACTCTCCAATATACATGAACATTTATATGAACGCGGATATTCATTTTTAAAGTATCTATTTCATTGGATACATATCTTTCAAGTGTTTTAGCATTCGGAAATACTCTGTTCCGACGTAATGACTTCCAATATACTTTAGGATATCTGTTTGACTGAATACAATTAATAATAAATCTTAAGCTCGTCTTCGCTTCTGTGAGATGTGCATTAAACTTCAGAAACTCATTGCGTGCCTTAAATGAAGCAGGACCCCCACATGATTTAAGAATATTAAAGATTCCCATTGTGAAAATTAGAACAACACATATAAGCGAACAATACTGTTTTCGATTAGATCGTCATCAGATATTTTAAAAATGAATATCCGCGTTCATATAAATATTCATGTATATTAGAGTAAAGCCTGATGACGATCTAATTGAAAACAATATTGTTCGCTTATATGTGTTGTTCTAAGTTAAATTATTGCCAATAGAGTTTACACGTTTCAGTGCCTTTTTTGATTGTCCACATAACATGAGTTTGTCCACATCTTATACACACATAGTAATTAACAAATCACAAATGCCTTCATATATTTATTAACATTATTATCGCCAACTAGATATAATTCAATTATTCCCTGGATTTATTAACACGAGTGAAATATCTTAAATGAATATTATTTCAATGTTAAAAAAATGATTCTTTATGACCAAACAAACAAAAGATTGAACAGGTATCAATGTTCACTAATTTCACAAGCAGACTAGATATTGTTGTGAAAACTCATAAGTTAGAACTATTATAATAACAGTCATGTGAATGCCACGATAAATAAGAAATGTTTCATCATGACAACTAAATATGTCAATCATTATTATACAATCTAAATAAAGAATATATAACATAATATCAGTGTTTCATTAGGGGAAGCTACGTCTAAAATATAGATGTCATATAGTTACATGTCTAATTACTAATTATTGAAGAGGAGTTGCGGATATTGTTGTATTTTTAGTCTCTAACGATGGATTAACGTTAGTTATACAGCTGTTGTGAGTCGAAAACGAATAAATAGCAGCATCGTTCTCGCACATAACACGGCAACAGTCCGCTTTCATCGCCACATCAAGCAATTGGACATAGAACCTTAAGGTGTAGTAAAGAAATCTTAATTTTCACGTCATTAAATCAGCATTCAATACTTTATGGTTCGAGATTCAATCAATTCATGATATTTTGCGACCATTACACGCTGCTATCGGTGACAGAGGCACAATATTGTTGAATATCATGGTATATAGAACAGGAAAACTGTATATCTATCTCAAAAAACATTAGATTGTAAGGTTTACTACTTAGTTAGCCTTTGACAAGCCCTTATGTAGTTTATATTTCTTTTTCTGTTTAGTAATACCCTACGTTTGAGGAAGTAATAATATATTGAGCATCGTATAATCTGAATAAAATGATCCACCAGGCCAACATCAATATGATTCAGTTTTTAAAGATCAAAAGTTTGAAATACCCATGTTAGCATTAAGTCAATAGTCAGAAGCTGGAGCTATGTATCTTTGTAAGTGTTAAAATTGAGTATGATATCATGCTGTTGTCACAATGCTTCCAGTCACTGATTATTAGCTTATAAGATCCTTTCTGAGACCCATTTCACTAATGCTGGAGAAATTCACATATTTAATCTTTATGTTGGCAAAATTCTCAAAAAATCAGCGTTTTCATTGAAATGATTCACTTTAAAATCATGTCATACTCATTAAATGAAGTTCAATAATAAATTTTACCAGTAACTCTGAAGGGATCGCTACCTAGATGTACCTTATTAGGGACTAGACTGTTTTAAACGCTTCGTATTCAGGAGAGACTGAGAAACGATGTACAATATATATATATATATATATATATATATATATATATATGTATATATATATATATATATATATATATAAAATCATCAATCAACCAACCATCGGACCACTGGTTAGGCGTTCGTGCACAATACCGAAGGTCATGGGTTCTAATCCTGCGGTGGGCAGGAGTCGTGGATGCGCACTGCTGAGGAGTCCCATACCAGGACGAGACGGCTGTCCAGTGCTTCCAGGTTTCTAATGGTGGTCTAACAATGATTGATTGATGATTTCAAATGTGTAAAAACACAAACGTCCAAAACTCTGCCCTATATATATATACATATATATATATATATATATATATATATATATATATATATATATATATATATGACTGGCTGAAACTATTAATCTACTGCTTTGGCATTTATCTTGTATGACTAAATTATGGTAATTCAAAATAATATCGTTTACAACCAGACGCTGTTACTTATTATTTTTTGTGAACAATAATCATTTCAGCAAAGTGCAATCACATAAATCTAGCAAATTATGTACTAAAAGAATTTTAAAACGATGATATAAAACAGATTTTCTATTGTCTGGAAAAAATATAACTGACGCACAGGAAAGAGAGAAATGATTCCAATTGTAACAACTTGATGTGATGTAAAAACGTTCGGTAAATTGACATATTAAGTAGCATTTTAGAAATGGAATTAATTAACTTGTTATATCCATAGATAAGCCCTCTAGTAACAAGTTATTTCATTTACGTACAAGATTTTAATTGAACACAATAACTCAAATAAATTTTATCTTATAACTGTATTAATTTTAAAAGAAAATTATCAACAGAATAGCTTTTTAAAATATTTATTTGCATAATCAATTTTAAAATGTGAAAACTTGTCATCCGATAACTTACCGTATTGCATTTCCTGATGTGCAACTGCAAGACGTTGAAGAATTCTATCTTCACTTTCTGTAGAACGAGATCGTAAACGTTTCTCCTAATAAATGAAAAAAAACACTTCATTAGTTTGACTAACTTCTACTAATGAGTAGTCTCATCACACTATACTAAATAATTCGAATGCTGAACCAAATATTGTTTAACTTCAAAAAATAAAACTGATCTCACTAGCTGTGAAAGCTTATTGAATGTGACTACGAGATTCAATATTCAATAGCTAAGTAAAATTATGAAAATAGTTTTGTTTGCGTATGTTATGTGAATTAACTTCAATCGGGTTACTACTCTATTGAAGGCCAGGTGTAGTGTATGTACTTTTATGTCCAACCCTCAGGGCTAGTTTCAGCCTTTGGACAATTTTATCAATGTTTTTCTTCTGGAACTATTCACGTGTCTTATGACCTCGCTCGCTAGTTAGTAACTTCTAACTTAGTTGTTGTTATTCGTGTGTGTGTGTGTGTGTGACGCTTACTTCGCTTATCACAAGTCTAGGTTATTTGGTTCGACTATAATTGCTTAGTCATGCTGCATTGCATTGAGTTGGCTTACAAGGCTTTTCCATTTCGCTTCACTTCGCTCTAACACTTTGTACTCTCATGTCTGTCGGCTTGGACGATTGCATGAAATAAACTCATCCAACTAAATCCGTATTTGGCTACTTATTACCAACGTCGCACAAAGGGGGTTTACCTACGGAAACTTCAGGAAAGATTTATTTCATAGCATATTTAATTGTTCATAAATATCGGAATCAGATTGCGGGCCAATAAAGATGGAACACTGGACATCTGTTTCGTCTCAGTTAGTTAGTTGGTTAGTTACCTCTGCCACCCCCAAAGTAGCATAGGCTGCTTACCAGTTTTCTCCAACTTACTCTGTCCTGAGCTTCCCTTTCCTGTTCCGATAAATTTTTGTTCATTCTTCTCATGTCTTTCTCTATTTCTCGGCGTAATTTCTTCTTTCACCTTCCTCTTTTCCTTTGACCTTCAGGGTTCCATGTGAGGGATTATCTTGTGACGCAGTTAGGTGCTTTCCGCAGTGTGTGTCCTATCCACTTCCACCGCTTCTTCTTGATTTACTCCTCCGCTGGAATGTGGTTTGTTCTCTCCCACAGTACGTTGTTGCTGATGGTGTCTGGCCAATGAATACGAAGTATTCTGCGTAGACAACTGTTAATAAACACTTGTATCTTCTGGATGATGGCTTTCGTAGTTCGCCAAGTTTCCGCTCCATACAGTAGAACTGTCTTGACATTTGTATTGAAAATGCTGATTTTGGTTTTGGTTGAAAGTTGCTTGGAGTTCCAGATACTTTTTAACTGTAGAAATGCAGTCCTTGCTTTGCCGATCCGCGCCCTCACAGCTCCATCAGGTTCACCTTGATTTTCGATGATGCTGCTCAGATACGTGAATGTGTTACCGTCCTCCAAGGCATCTCCATGAAGAGTGATTTGGGTGGCGCATGTAGTGTTGTATCTGAGAATCCTAGTATAGGACTCATTCTTTGCATACATTCACATCATTATCAGGAATCAAACCTAAACCATTGTCTCATACACATCGGATAAACCTTCAAGTTATTAGATTTGTATCCAATGGTGAAAATATCATTATAAAGCTAAATGATATTCCAGTGTTATAAGTTACTAACTGTTACATGCAAGATATGTCATTTTTCACGTATTTACATATGAGCACAATGTACGTATTTTACAATACGGAAGATTTCTACTAGCACTTGTCACAAAATCTGAAGCTTCGATAATACTCCCTTACCACTTATAAAAATATAGTTAATATTCAACTTACTAGTATAGCAAAACTTCTAGGACGTATAAAAATGCACACTGGATTAATGTCTGTTTTCTGTAGCTTTTCAACACCTTGTATATCGACATCCATTAAACAGACACGATTCTCCAGTTCAGCTTTCTTTAATTCAGATTTACTGTTTGTATTTTAAAAAATAAACAAACAAGTGACCTACACACATATTTAATATTGATCAATTTAAACAAAATAAACACACAGAGAAAGCTTTGGTAATGGATTTTAGATGTTAGTGTTTATTAGTTTATTGAATGATATAGTTTTATAGGATTATATTGTCATTCACTTTCGCCTGGAGCCCCTGTGGAATTACTACTGGTCTTAAATAGGAGTTTAGCAGTGCGATTGCACCTAAGTTTATCAATCCCATCTTCTTAGAAAGGAACAAACATAGTCAATATAAGTATAAGCAAACTGATTATTTTTTATTCATCCCTCCATGTCCCATGACTAACAGACAAATAGATGGATAACGTTTGACATATAAAAAAACACAACTATCACATCATATAAAATAATTCAATTGCCATTGAAAAAAAGTATTATTGTTCAGTAAATTTGTAACATTCTATTGACAAATTGAATTAAAGAAACCTAGTTATACTAGAGTAATTTTGTTAGCTATTTTTAAATAGTCTTCATCAATGCACAGATTTTAAATGAACAATATATATCTATGTTTTGATCTTATTAGCACGTAACGAGTCAGAATTGTTTCTTGAATTGGATTCCATTGTTACTTAGTTGGTAATGAGAAAATAAATCAGAACCAGTTATTAGTAGAACTGTATGTAGGATATATTTCAAACTCATCATAGGAAACTTGAGTAGACATCGTTTTTTTTAATTTGCAGCTTTTCGTTACATTATCGATAACATTAGGAGTCAAAACTGTGACTGGAATCACTGTTGATAGCGGAAATGTCATTCATGTATCACACAGAACAATTTTCTTCTGATGAAAAAGCCGATTATCTTATCTAATAAGTATTTTTTTGAATGATTTTGTTTTCAATACATTTAAGTATCAGATTACTTGATGTTTTTTCATGAGCTATGAAAATCTATCTACTAAATCTCACTATCTCATCTGTTGATTTCATTTGTGTTATGATCAACTTAAGGAAGTTGAAACTGTTTACAAAGATTATTGTATCAGCATATGTCCATGTCCAGAACAGAGGAGGTTTGATAACGATGATCGATGGTCGATGCTCCGTTAGAGGTAACAGGCATAAGTAAGTGTAAAAAGTAACTAGACAGAAATAATTTTACAGTAAAGAAAACTTTATCGACAATTAAAACACAATCTAGAACAACGTGCAGAAATTAATTCAAGTAAATTTAGGGAGAACTTTTAGTGACAATGGTTTCAAGGTTTGGGAAGTGTGGTTTGAATTATTTGTTCTGATTAGCGTTTTTTTGGTGAGATGGGGTCGCCAAACCCATGCCCAACCCTCCTCCTTTAGCAAGGCTCAGGACCGGCAGTAACCCCAGAAGGGGTCCAGGCGGAGTTTCGGAAAGTATGATTGGTCATTAAGTATGAAGGATTACTGAAAATGACTTGATAGTACATCTGATTTCGGGAAATTAAATATCTAAATATCTATATTTTAAGTAGTGACTTCATTTAATGTTAAAGTGTCTTGAAAATGTTTTGACACCTTCATATTACACATAAATACTCTTAATTGATCTACAATCTATCTATAAGGAATACATCTGTCATTTGTATATCAATGGTCAAACGGAATGACACTCTACAACGTTACATCATCTAAGGGTTTCATATTCAGTAATCACTTTCGTGTGTGAGCTATTTTTTCTGTCACTATAACTAGCTGCATTACACTTCACGCATACATAGCAGGATGCCATGATATTTCTGTCACAGAAAACTTTACAATGTTCATGTCTTTCTGTAAATAAACCTCTAGTGATATTAGTGATTAGTAAAAGCCTTAAGGCATAATAGTAATAATAATAATAATAATAATAATAATGTCCACTTAATTCTGTTTGATGTCAAAATGGCAAGCGATAATGTAGTTTATCCTTAAGCATAACTTTTATCTTATCCTATTCTGTTAGTTAAATTATGATTAATTGAGTTTACAACACCTTTAATAACATTATTATCGCCAACTAGATATAATTCAATTATTTCCTCAATCTATTAACACGAATGAATTATCTTGAATGAATATTATTTCAAGGTGAAAAAATGATTCTTTATGGCCAAACAAACAAATGATTGAACGTTTATTAATTTTACAAGCAGACTAGATATTATTGTGAACTCATAAGCTACAACTATTATAATTATAGTTATATGTTTTAAAAGAAACATTCCAACAACAAATTCCCCCTTTCAATAGTATGAAATCGGAGGAGATGAGATTATGTTGTCTGCACAGACAGCAGGGTAACTGTTTCCTACTTGAATGGGTTTTGTACAATGGATTATAGCTGTTCAGTGTCGATTGACATATGTACATTCTAACTGGCTATCATAAAGGTCCATGATATATTTCCTTTACACTGTATTACATTATGTACACGTAAAGTTTTCAGATTAGTAATTAGTTGCTAGAAATTGGCAAGTGCTTTTGATGATTTAGAGTAACGGTTAAATATTCAAATCTTCCACAAAACAACTTTACTTTCTAATAGTAAATAAGTTTGCTAAAGAAGATAGTATTCACAAATCGTTGTTATCAGATTATGTTTAGAAACAATCTACAGTATGTATTTACATATGGAATGAATGAATATACAAAATAATCATCCTTTCATGATCTACATACACTAGATTGTATTGTAAATTCTTACCTCGTTCCATAATAATGTCCAGAAAACATTACATATTCAATGAATTCATCATTATTGATTGCTTTGTCAAACTCTTCTTTTGACACAAAGTTATAATCTGTAATCAAAATTGAACATACCAGTTTTTTTTAATATCTTTTCATACTAACCACTTTCCATTAGATACAAATGTTCAAACAATAACTTCTCTACAAACTTGATATGCTTGAAGCTATTACGAGTTCACTTTACTCAATAAATGGAAAGAAGTTCATTGATTCACCGATACCATAGACTATTCTAATCTGATTGTCCCAGGCCCCACAAACTAGCGTAAGAAATCTTGATAAGACGTAGAGAGATGTGTGTTCTACAGGCAACCAGAAAGTACGAGGTCCACAAGCACATAACTCAAGCTTATTTTATACAATGATAAAACGCCCTTGGTGAGAGCCACAAAATAGCGTACCAAAGTAATCCACTAATCAATGACAGTCAAGGATGTTCCAAGTTGGAACTGTAAGCCAAAGGTTAACTAAGCGACTCTGGAGCGAAAACATTAAAATTTAAAATTTCAGGAATAATTTTCAAAAAGAGGACCTTTTCCGAGTGAGTTCTAGGGATCTAAAGTCCCCAACAATACCACAAAATAATATACTATTTTTACAGTTTAAATCATGTACTGGTTTCAATAAAACCTGTAAGCATCAGACGAACATTTCGCTCTAGTGTCTCACTTATTAGCTGTGTGCATCCACGTCATTCTAACATAGGAATCAAACCAAAGACCTTCATTCAATCTGGCATGCAAAATTGTGTTTTTTCCAGTTCTTAATGATGGCCTAGCTAAGATTTGTTCAAGATTTAATCTGTGAAAATTCTACTATTTCTTGTACACTGATAATATTCTTAAAATTCAGTTCACTGTAATGAAATTATTTAATTTTACTAATCAAAGCCGGAAAAAAGTCGAATAATCGAAACTTATATGAATATGGAAGCTTGAAACATCGACACGACTACTTATAGAAGTCAAAAGATTCTTGGTCACACTTTTGAAGAGATTTGAATATTTGAAAAAGTACAGATTAGAAGAAATCAGTTATATTTGGTCATAATATTATTTTTCTAACAAGTCAGAAGTAAGAAATCCTCTAGAAAGAGGACATTGTACATGGAAAAACTTGAAAAGAAACTCTTTTCTGTTGTCTTTTCAAGGACCTTTTAAAGATTAAAAGTAACGTACTTTCAGTCAGACAATGATTTATGGTGTTTTATATTTCGAGTTCTTATCCGTTCATTAAGAAAAGACTGAGATAACGGTCAAACGTCCCACATATAAATATCAATAACCGAATTTATTTGTGTTTCAATCGATAATGAAGAAAATATCAAATAAAGTTTTCCCTTATCTGATACACTTCACTGAATAATTGAGAGTTTAAAATTTGAAAAAAAATTAAAAATTTGTTTGTATTTTTTTAATATTCTAAATGTTTCCTTCATTCAACTCTTTTCAGTTCAATCATTTCTAATTCGTTTTTTTCTGATTAAAGGTTTTCTTCAATTTCCTTTAGGGAAAATAGTGTTTTTGTATTCTGCTGAACAAACAATAATTTATTGATATTACCTGACTTTAAGTCATAAATAAAATGCACGCTGTGCTTGATTTATCCCTCGAAATTTGAAACTTTCTCCTTCCTTCATCAACTCAATTAATCTGTTTTTGTTACTTTTCATAGTTTGAAATTTTAATTGTTAAACCCCCTCAAAAAAAAAGAAACTCTCAGTTTCTCTTGTGATAAATTACTACTTGAATGGTTTAGAAATTTAAATTCTAACAACCAAAATTGATTCTAATACGAATCCAATTTGGAATATTAGTTTGTAAGTGTGTTTGTATGATCAAAGTATTATTTCGATAGTAAATTTTTCACACTTTTTTTTTGAAATGAACGAAATAATTTTTTTTCCTTCTATGGACATTGATTTTCGAAAAATTTTCAAAATTACACGTTTGATATGAATTGTTAACTATTTGTTGTTGTCGGTGTAATATTTGAAATCGATTTCGAAAGATAACTATCGGGTGAATGATGTGCGTCGAAAATATTTCAATAATTTTATTTGTTCTGTTACAAATTGGCTTGTAACAAGTAAATTTTTTACTAATGAAATTACACATTTTTGAAACCATGAATCGATCAGTGTTAGACCACCATTAGAAACCTGGAAGCACTGGACGGCCGTTTCGTCCTAGTATGGGACTCTTCAGCAGTGAGTATCCACGACTCCTGCACCCTGCAGGATTCGAACCCAGGACCTTCGGTATTGTGTGCGAACGCACTAACCGATAGACCACTGAGCCGGTATCTAACGGTCTTAATGTCAAACTTGATCAATTCACGGAGTTCCGCAACCTCAAACACAGTCTTCGGTAGTTACTGTCTACACCTGAACAGGTTGAACTTCACTGGTCACGTCTTCCCACTAGAACTCGGAGAAGATTCTTCACGAATCTAGTCACTAGTGAGCACAGGTAATTTGCATTACGTAGTTGTGATGCGTGGACTTGCACTGCTGAAGAGTCCCACGCCAGGACGAACCGGCCGTCTTTCAGTGCTTCCAGGTTTCTAACGGTGGTCTAACATTGATCGATTCATGGTTTCAAAAATGTGTTAACTTAACAATCTTCACAACCCCGTAACACTAATGAAATTGTCACTATCTCGGGTTTTCACAAACCATGTTTTTATGCAACCCTTTCATTCAGTACAACCATTATTGGCTGGAATTAATTAGCAAAATAATGCTACTAGTATAAAAAATTTTGCATGATGAGTAATAGGTGGACGCTGCTGAGTATCGCACGAGAACATACTGGTCATCTTTCACTTTTAGATTTTGAATGGTGTTCTTAATAAGATCAGTTCTCTGTGTAAAAGCTGTGATATTTTTAATTGTTTGCATTTTGACGTTATTTGGATTATGTTTGCGGTGCTATTGCTTTATCAGATATTTTTGGGTTGAGTTTAGCATAAATAACTTGAACTAAATGAAGAGTACAAAACAGTGATTTCCTCTCCTTTACCGTTAGCATTTTACTCTCCGTTCTCAAAGAGGATTACAAATTATTATGTGTAGGGGTTTGTAGCGATGGTTCACTTGACAAACTGACATTAGTTCGATAATTATTAGAAATCAGCCAGATTGTAACTCAATATTAAGGAATGATTGAACTTAAGTATCTGTTTAGCGGCTCACGACTTGATTTCAGTGTGGACGAGTTAGCTTTTCATTTCAGTATATTATACCTAGGCTAACCTCGTTCTAAGTATTTATAGCCAGGCTACGCATGTGATAAGTGAGTAAGCATCCACACCAAACAATCAAATATATAATAATCGATACTGTAATCGAATTATTACAAATATAAAAGATGTCTGATACAATTATTGAATAATTTAAACGACTAATTATTATTGAAGTACAATGAATGAATGGTCATATGCTATATCTAAACCAATAAATGGCAGCTCAGTGGTCTAAACGCTCGCAAGGAGATCTAAAGTCCCTTTGTTGGATCTATGGTTGGGTTACAGATTCACACTGTCAAAGAGTCGCGCACTATAGTTAAATAGCTATCTTTCTATCAGTAGATGTCTAACTAAAGTCAGCTCGTGACGGAGACCATAAAGTTACCACTCACTTGACTGAAAACTCAAATAACACTGTTCCTTGATTTTCTGCATTCCAATAAATTAAAGTAAAGGTATTATGCAGATACTATGTTATATTTATACTGAAGCTTAGAATACCTTGAATGAAAGAATACTTCAACATTTTCAAAATTCAATATTCCCTTCCAGCTTGTTTATTTATTTTATAACTTTATTGCCAAAGTGATGTACTGTTCATCCACTTAGATCGCCGACTTCAAATTTATTCGTCTACATTCATAATTCAGAAAACTGGGAACAAATTGATCGGAAATATGCTCAAATCCAACCATAAGTAAACACGCCATTTCCGAGGTGTTTTACTCTTCGTTTTGAGGAAATCATCTTAATACCAGTTAAATGCAGACAGAAAATTAGATACATATGTGATTGCTGATCATTTTTTCAATTAGAAGGAATACACTTTCTATAGACTTCGGTGTACTCTTTGATCCTTGAAACTAACTGTATGTAAGTGACTGACTGACACCAGTTCTTGATAGAAAGTTTCTCAAAAGCGCATAAATGCTGCTAAACTACTTACTGAAATATACTTATCTTCAGTTGCGCAAATATTCGGTAGTTTTGCAAAGGACATAGTAATCTCAGTGGTTTTGAAGTCTTAAAAAACAAAACTGTGGTACAGAAAAAAATCGATACTTAACACATCATATCCTTCCTCAAGTGTGATTTTTTTATTACGTCGGTACAATCCACTCGTAAGTAAACACCAGTGAATGGATGTTAACATTACTGGTCACGAACACTAAGTCGATAACGATAATAGTGGCGTGTAGTAGCGTTCTGAAATTTATTTCTTAGAATATTTCTCTTACATACAGTTCGGAGAAACAGATAACCATGCCAAATTTAATACAGATAATCATAATTGTTGAATAAAAATTATTTACCTTTTGTATGAATTTCATCTGGACGTCTGGGTCGAGTTGTATCTAAAAATAACAGTCGAAGTAAATATGCATCATATAATCACCAACTAAGTCATGAGTAAGCAAAAACATCAGTAATAATCATTCAGAAGATGAGATTTCTAATTCACTTGTATAATATTCAGTGAAATAGGAGAGAACTAAATCGGTTGAATTATGAAACTGATTCAGTCATAATTGTATTTTTACATCTGTTCACGTAAAACCAGTCAATCACTGAAAATAAAGTTGTATGCTTTAAGTGTATACACTGGAGTACTGAATTCGTGCTTGGCTAAATGTTTGTGTTTAGAGATAAGTCCACATTGATTTAAACTATCGCTTTAAGATTGATTTGTCGAAAGTAGGTGAAATACAAAGTCTACTCTAGAATCGTTACGTCATATCACTTCAGAAAAAATAGGATGCGTGTATTATGAAATGAGAAGAACATATTGAGCGAATCGATTACCTTATTCAAGTGGATACAAATAAAATAAAAATGATTTTTTTTATTTTCAAGTGGATACTGTGTCACATTTTAACTACTCAGTCAGCATGTATTGCTGAAATTTACAGAAAACTGTTCATTATACTGAGAATGAACCAAACCACTTCTGTACTCTATCGTTTACACGAGTACTAGGTGGGGATAGCAAATCAATATATGAAGTAGTGAAACTTCATCAGTTGAGGTGGTTAGGACATGTGTTACATGTGCCTAACCACCGACTGCCTCAACGAGCTTTGTTTTGTGGTATAGGAGTAGGTTGAAAGAAAGCTAGGGGCAGCCAAACCAAAATATGGCACAAATCTATGAAGTCACTGACAAGTGTAGGCTACCTGGTTGGGGTTTGCGAGACCAAAGTCACCGATTGTTAGAGACCTTGAATGACATGGCTCAAAATCATTTGCAATGGCGCAGATGTATTCATCCTTTGTGTTCTCTCATATACTAATCTTCTGAATTCCTCATCACCTCTATCTTTCTATTTATAAAGTTATCTCACAGAATTAAACTTCTCGAATCATATCTTAACCCTAATCAGCTCCATTACTGCTAATACTTCTACTATTGATACCACTCTTGGATTTGAACTGACAGTTGCGTCTCTGTGATATTGCGTTATGGCAACCTGAACTGATGTACTTATGTACAAAGTTCTGCGTTGTATCTGTCTGTCTGTCTGTCTAACGTTTACAAATCAGCTGACATGAAATGTTTGCTGTGTGTATAAAATGAATAAGTCGATCGAAACACGTTAAAATACCTCCATTTGATTAAAGTTCAATAAATGTTTACTGAAGACCACGAGAATCTATGTCTAATTGATAAACTATAATTTTGTTGGTTTTACCAATGACAGTCTTATACATATATATCTAAAATCCTACTTTGTAACTCATAGTATTCTCTACAGATAATCTTAGGTTGAATAAAACTTTTAGGAGAGTGGTAATCTTGTGTTGAGCAATGTTTTCTTAGATTTCGTGATTTACTCGTCCAGATAATCGTTACTAAATAGCGCCTAACGGGTTTAAGTCAGAAGGTGAACAGGAAGTGTTGAATACGTTTATTTTGACACACCACAAAAGCACCAGCAAACCACAAGCACAAAGAGAAGGGTAAGCACGCTAGCGAGCGCATTGGAGAATGAATTAATAAGATTAAAATGTACATATATATACTGAGGGTAATGTCCGAGTCATCGACACATTTAAGAGATTAACATTACAGCGAATAGGATGAATATGCGCGTAGTTGGTAAGCAATGTTCAATCATATCAGCTCATACAAACCAGACAGCAGTAAAAAACGATGCTTTCAGGTTTCTGATGGTGGTCTAACATTGATCGATTCACGGTTTTAAAAATGTGTACCTTAACAATCTTCACAACTTGGTAAATCGACACACTACAACTCTACCATATTTAGTAGACAAATTTTAAGATATATCAGTGTTTCCCTTGTTCTTAAAATCGATTTTTAAAATACTTGGCAACTTTTTATTTAGAAATTCTTATTCTGTCTATTGACAAAAAATAACTCTTGGGTACATTGAATGTTTTCGTCCGTTTCGAAAAAAAACAAAAATTTACCATCAACAATAAATAACTCATAGTTTATCAACAAATTGTAAATACGTTTCATGTATTTCTTTTATTCAATAAGCTAACCAAATAAACAATTCCCCTTGTGTATCGATTTCTTTACTTTCCTATCTAATTAGGTGTTGTTGTTTCTTCTTTTTTTTGTAACTAATGATTATACTACTTTAATTAATCGATCCACATGTTTTCGTGTTCAATGTACAATGCAATTAATTCTTCATTCCAGAACATTGTTTACCGGTATTAATTTCAAGTGAATAAAATAATTTTAAGTGGAATGACTTTATTTATAATAAGAATAGGCAATTCCCATATGAGTAGCAATAACTATAAGTCTTTTTATTTTCTTTGACAAAAGAGAATATAGAAAGGTGAAATATCAAAATAATGCCTTAATAAATTGATTACAGTTTGACAAAACAAAAGATAGGCGGTTGTTATCTTCTCTCAATAATCTAATCTATAATTGCTTGATACATTTTTATTCACTTAGCAATGACCACCATCGATCTGTCGAGTGGTGTAACACAATAAAAGACAAATTAAACTGATCTTTTCAGTTTACTTGTATATTAACGCTCTTATTTTCGTTGGATGCCTGCCCAGTGGTCCAATGGTTAGGCGTTTGAGCACAATACTGCAGGTCCTTGGTTCGAATCCTACAAGGAGCAGGAGTCGTGGATGCGCACTGCTGATGAGTCCCATACCAGGGCGAAACGGCCGTCCAGTGCTTCCAGATTTCTAATGGTAGTCTAACATTGATTGGTTGATGGTTTCAAATGTGTAAAAACACAAACCTCCAATACTCTGCCCTAAAATAATAAGGTTGCACAAAATGTATAACTCTGCCAGTAGAACCTTTGAGGCTACTGCCGGTCCCAAGCCCGGATAAAGGAGGAGGGTTGGGCATGAGGTTGGCGACCCCATCCCGTCAAAAAGTAATTTGCCAAAATAACGTTAACCACAAAATGTATAGAAATTCCGATTTCTCCCTAACCTTTCGATAACCAGTGGATATATGTTTATCATGCCAATCAATCTTAGGTTCGAGTTCTGGCTGTGTAAAATAGTTTCGATGGTTTTCTATGTGAAATTAACATGAATTGATTGAATAGCACCTTTAATTATTTTTTTGTAATATGAATAAAATGATATCAACTACTTACGTGATACACAATAACGAAATGAATTGGGATATTTACTGATCAACATTCTTATGCAAGTACTTTTTCCACACCCCGATGGACCACATATTACCACTGGTCTTTTCAATTCCAGATGTAGTTCATTCATGTATTATTTTGAATTTTTATTTTTTTCAATCGATCTATTGTGCTAGAAAGACAAATCAGAGGAAAAATCAAATTACATTCATGGAAGAAACAGCTAATCGAATAGTACATTATTTTATGTACATGTATAACAGAATTTGGAGAAATTTTTTATTACTCAATAGATATTGTAATAATATAGAAGAACTGTCAACAGTTAGCGTCAGTCATATGTTAACCAATCAGTCAATCAACAGCAACGTAGAACTTTGTACGTATGTGCGTACATCAGTTCACGTTGCCATATCATATTAGCACAGAGATATAATTGTCAATTCAAATCCCATAGTAGTAGGGGTAGTAAAGGTATTAGCAATAATCAGAGAGATTAGAGTTTGAATATAATATTCAAGAAGTAGAATCTAGTGAAATAAAATTAAAAATAAAAATGATAGAGATGATGAGGAATTAAGAAGGTTAGAATTTGAGAGAACACAAAGAGTGGATGTACCTGAGCCGTTTCAAACGATTTTGAGCCATGTCACTCAAGGTTTCTAACCATCGACCCCAACCATGTAGTCGACACCTACCGACATGACTCAGTCCATGTGTCAGTAGCTTCATGGATTTGTGCCATGTTTTGATTTGACCGACCCTAGCTTTCTTCCAATCTACTCCTACACCACAAAACATAGCTGGACAAGGCAGTCAGTGGTTAGACATACGTAACACATTTCTCAACCAAGGTATAATTTATTGGTAAAAAGAGTAGATTTAAACAAACTAACTTAGTGAACGATAAAATAATTCATGACAACTACTTTGATATATGGAGTCAGTTAACTTATAGAGTTGATTTGCTATATATATTCAACAGTATTACTATTAAATACCATCCGTGGACATTTTCGACAACCATATACAATACATATCAACACTATAAGTTTTTTGTAGATATATTAGGTAAATTCGTCTAAATTTTATCCAAGATTTATAAACCATTTCGGTGTTAGCGTGGTTAGTTAGTTAGTTAGTTAATTTGCGCAGCTTTCAGTGACCGATTACAAAAAAAATTTAAGCCATTGTGGTTCATTAAAAACAAAAAAGTACTTGCTGGTAAGTAAGTGACCGAGCAAATGTGAAAGGTGTAAATTTTCTTTTTTTTGAAAGATACAAAACACTTGATCATCGTTCACAGTAAGGCTTCTTTCACTAATATACTGTCTGCTTTGTGTAAAAAGCCATTTAAAAGCTTATAGTGGTGATTGTAAGTATTGATCGATTCCTGTAACCTTCATAAATATATTTATTTACACGTGAATATTATTGACCATTCATGACATATTTGTGTCAGTAATAATCCATTAGTTAAACTAAATTCAGTTATTTTTTAATGTTTAATTGACAGCGACAGGCAGTTGAATTTTTCACTTGAAAGATGTGACTTATGGAAAACTTATCATCTTTTTTTTTAAAAAAAATATTAGAGTTACAATTGTGACAAGGACAGAAACATCAATCTTATAGTACAGAGTGTAGAAATTTAAATTGGCTGTTAACTACCTTACCTACAAACAGAAAATGACAGAACTACGCGTAAATGTATGTACATTGATGCCAAAATAGTGATAATCACTATTGTTTTAGGTTGATGTACAGCATTTTGTACTAATAATAATAATAATATTAACTCCGTCAGAATCGATCAGTATTTTTTTTGGTTCAGGTTGGACAAAGTGTGAACAATTGTGTCAGTCAAGCATCGTTTCCTTGAAAAAAACCAATTATTATCTTTGAAATCAGTAATGGTTAAGGTAGGCTAGTAGCTAATCAACGATGTTACGGGTATTAAGTACATTTTACCGATCATTTCATTCTCAGTATTCTGAAAGTAGTGTTTCAAACGTTCGACAAAATCATCAATTTATTTATTTGTATTTTTGAGAAGGTATCAGGGGGTACAGGAATGATTTGATGTTGACCGATTCGGTCTCGTGTGCTGTTACGGGTATGAGGGCGGTTGTCACTTCCCGGCTGCCCACACCGTGGAAGGTTGTTTCTTGAGGGACCTAGAAAGGAAGGTACGTTAGCGTTGGTCTTAGAGACCTGGGAGCGTGACTTCAGAGTGCAAGGGAAAACTGCTTGAGGCCGGTCACGCACAGCCTTTCTATGAAAGGTTTTTTGAGTATTAGCTCCGCTCTTAAAAGCCCTTATTGGGCACCCTTACCGACAGAAACAGAAATACATGAGGTAGGGTGAGGTGTGACATTTTTATGGATCTACCTTTTCTAAACTTTCCTTCCTTGTGTGAAGGCAGCATCGCTGCAGATGCTGGTTATCCGAGGGAAACACCTTACTGCTGTCACACCCCTCTGCAGTCAGTAGAACAACTTCGCCCTGAGGCCTTGGGTAGCTACTTTTAGTCTCATCGTTCTCCAATCGACCTGCCTGGCATGGTAGAACCTTGAGGAACATATGTTTCAGCCGATATAGCTCGTTTAGGTCATCACGATGGGCAAGCCCGACCACTGCGTCAAGGTAGCAGCTTCGGTCGGGAAGAGTCAAGCTGAGATACTGTACATCGTGCTTCTTTCTTTTAATAATTTCCAATCCAACGTTAGACAGTAACAGAAACTACTTTAACTACACGGGATTCTCATCCATTTATTCTACAAGATATTCAGAATGCTACTATTTTGTTAAATTTCCTAATGAAACTTCTGAAATCAGTCTATAGGGTTTTACAAAGTCACATCAAATTAGAGGATCCGCTGAGTGATTTTCTATTTCATCGACTTACAAACTGTTTTGATGGCTCAACATTATTATTCAGTGTACTAACTTTATTCATGACATTGGGGTTAGCCTATTGGTGCATCTATTTTCAAAGGCAAACTATCATAGCTGCAGGTTGTAAGGTTTAATAACACTGATTCAAACAAGGCGACATCTATTTCATTCTTTGGTTTCATATTTATATTAGTTAAGATTAAATATCTACAGATAAAATCACAGAAATAACCGCGAAAATGATTAATTGTATTTATCTCTAATGGTAGTCTTTGTTTTACTATGCTGGCATGCTCTACGTTTAACTAAATCCTCAGTACTGTCTTCTGAACTTCTAAATGAGAAGTGTTCTTCAGCGACACTTCAGTTTATATTGATTATTTCACTGTGACTCAATACGTAATAACTATAATGCATTGTAAGTTCGTGAAGTTCAGAAATTGTATATTATGAGTGCTTTTACTGCATATTCATGTTGAAACACTGTATCAATTCAACATTGTTCAATGAATCACTGATAAAATCTCCAAGGTATTCAAAAACGAAAAAAAGAAGTTTGTTTTATCTAACGGTTGATACAATTTTCAATTTCAGATTACTATTCTCATAAAACCTAATCTATTTCTACGATTATTTTAAATAATTTAATAAGTCTAAACGAATTTAGTAGTTTTCAATACAAAATTATTACTTTCGTTCATACAGTCATCATTAGAAATTTCTCATTCATTAGACATTCACACTGAAATAAGTCAAAGAAATATCAAGTACATAGTAGCTAGAATATCATTAATACAATACCTGATCATACTATTTACTATAACTAACATGAAATATAACTCTGGCTGTAGAACCTTCGGGGGTACTGCCAGTCCCAAGCCCGGATAACGTAGTAGGAGGGTTGGGAATGGGGTTGGCGACCCTATCCCACCAAAAAAACGCTAACCAATATGAAATATGTTAATTTAATGAAATAGTTAAATAACACTTCCTTCTTCTATGTATATTATGACCACTAAGGTTAGCAAGTTTATTACAACAAACTTCGCCTACAAAAATTTAATAACTTACGATCTAACCAGTTGTCCTGTTTACCAACAAATAAGGTTAATTTAAAAAAAAATGAAATGCACTCAATCTCACGATCATGAACAAAACTTACTTAAATTTCAAGTTACACTTTATACTTACCAATATCAATGCAGATTTACTAATGTGTCACTTTAGTTGTTTCCAATAATAAAGCAACAATCCTTATCTTCTTGATATTAACAATAAAACATGAAATTATTTTTTAAGATTTTATTATTTCTTTAAATTAAGCACAATTCCATCAGATATACTACTGTAATCATCACACAATAGCACATACAATGATGAGCAACAAATGTACACGTTTACTTTTTCACTTGTCCATTATATATGTATATATATATTTAAGTTTCCTATTTGTCTGTTTTTCTAATTTTTTCCACAATCTCTCCTGTTTGTTTGTTTGTTTATCATTTTTTTCTTGATCACAAAGACATCAACACCAATCAGAATTGAATACTAAAGAAAAAAAATGAAATGTCAAATAGACCAATCAAAATTCAAACAAATCAGATGGGATAAAAATTGCAGTTTTATATTTTCATTTGAATTCTATGTTCAATATAGCTTTTTTATTTATGGCTAACATCATCAATAGTTATTAACTGCGTATTGAAAATGACAAACACGTTTAGAAATTATAATTTAGTATGAATTTACTGCGCATGCCTGAGTTTTTTGTGTGATAAAACGCTACTTTTTTAGGATAACATCATATTGTGTGTGTGTGTGTGTGTATCAAGGCATGCTGAGTCAATAATCACATGGAAATCATAGGCAACATAATCGTAAAATATAGTCTAGTCTGTCTTCAGAATACTTATTCATTTCTAAAAATTAAATATTACGTGATTACAGGATCTTCTGTCCTGGATTATAAATAAGTATAAATAATATCGTTCATCCTCTGCCTACGAAGACCGTGGTCGGAATGTTTTCCAGGGGAAACATTTGAAGGATTGTATACTTCACAGTTCTCAAATATTTACACATTATGATCATACTTTGAAAAACGTCTGTCAATTGCTTTCAGTTTGACCGCTACAAAACTCAGTGTTCTCATGGTTATTTAAGAAATTCTCACTGATGATTACATCATAATAAATTCTAGTACAATCATGCAACAACACATAGTCTGTC